CCTGCGAGACGACATGGGACCTGGAGCGCCGCGTCTGCGGGAGTTGCGCGGAGCGCGCGGGTCGCGGGCGGAGGCTGCGAGGGAATGGTCGATGAAAGGAATGCTGCGCGAGGAGACGGCGAGGCACCGTCAGAGCCAGAGTGACATGGGCGTCGTGTACCTGCGGCCAGTCACGGACGAAAACCTCGCCATGCTCGACGGCGAGCTGCACAGCGACGACGAGTTGGGCCCGAGAAGCGCCGACGCGGCCACCGCGCGGAAGCGCGTCGGGGGCGCGCCAAGGATTGAAGAGGACAAACGAACCAACGCAGTCGCGGAAGGCAGAAAATAAAAAACATCGGGAGGCGATGGCCAGGGGCGACGCCGCGCGGGGTGGGGACATTAGTTGGAAGAGCTGGAAACGACAGAAGCGCGGCGGGGGCGGGGCGTTGAAGTGGGGCGACGGCGCAGCACAAAGGGCGCGGGCGGCGGCCGCGGCGTCGAGAGCTCAGGAAGGGGACGGCGCGGGAGAAGCGGAGGGTGCCAGGCAGCGGATGGCGGGCTGGACGCCGGTCCACGCAGCGCCGCGGAGGAGGTAGCCGATCGGGTTCTGGCGCGGGGATTCGCGGCCCTGCGAGGAGCAAGAAGACGTGCCGGAGGCGCGCCGACATGCAACCCCTCTGGTGGGTCCTGCACGGCGGCCCAGGGATAGCGAAGAGCTTCCCCATGGACGAGGTCTGGAAGGAATTGCTCGAGAAGGAGATGGGGTGGACGCGCTTCCTAGACTCCTACGCAACAGCATTGCAGGCAACGAGCGCGTCAGCCCTCGACGGAAGTACGATCCACAGCGACTTCGGCACGGGCGCAACGACGACGAGGGAGCAGAGCGCACTTGGCGACGGAAGCGCAGACTCGAAGAAGACGACGGAAGGGGGGGGAATTGGCCGCGCAGCGGATGTCACAGTGGAAGTGACTGGTTATCGACGAGGTGAGCATACTGAGCGCGAATATCATTGCAAAGCTCGGTTCGCATTTAGGGTCGCGCATGACAGCAGCAAGCGATGTGAAGGTGTGCGAGGGCGGCGTGGACATGCCGTTCGGAGGGGCGAACGCGTTGCTCTGCTGCAATTTCTATCAGCTCGAGCTGCCGTCGGGAACAGCAATCAATGCGCTGCCAACTTCGCATGTAAAAAAATCCGCAGAGGTACGCGCCGGGTGCCGTGGAGGACCACGGGCAGCACATCTTCTGCAGAGTAGGAGGCGGAGGGGCAGTGCAGGGCATGAGGGAGTCGACGGGGTGCAAGCGCGCGGATGACCAGGACGATTGGATCTTTGGAGCGCACGGCGAGGTTCGCAGAGGAACGCTGATTGAATGCGCGCACAATTTCTTGCATGGCAGGTCGACGGACGCGCCAGGGTCGCGGGCGAACGGCGCACCGCCGCGCGGGGGCGCGCGTTGTCGTGGAGGCAGAGGGAGCTGCCGGAAATAACGCGAATGAGTGCGAGGTGTACATAGCTGAGCGAGAGGAGGAAACTCTTCGCGGCGTCGTCGGACGACGCGCGGGGGCGCACGGCGACGATTCAATGGGTTTTGCGCACGGACGATGTCATGGGATATAAAAACGAGCGAGTATCGTTGCATGTGCCCAGGGAGTCATAGTGCTGGACTTTTACGCGCAGGACTGGCGCATCCCGGGTTGGGGGCTGGGCTTGTGCCCAATTTTCGCATCGGAAGGCGCCGGCGGTTCTTGGGCGCATATCAGAAGCATCCAGCGTTTGGTGTCAGGCGCACGCAGTTCAGGATCACTCCGTCGTCTGCAGCGACGGCGCGCGCCGCGCAGGTCGCCGCGGGCGCAGCGGTGGCGGACCTTGAAAGAGGGCGCGGCACCAGTGGGATGTCAATGTCAAGTTGCACTGCCATCGCTCGCGCGCGCGGGCGAGGAAATCTAATGTTTTTTGCATTTCGACCAGGGGCCTTACGGAGGCGAGGTGGCGGGGGCGAAGAAGCAATTGCGGGCCCTCCGATGGGGGGGCGCGGTCTGGGAAGGATGGGCGGGGCAGCTCGCGCGAGCGGTGCCGGCGGAGGTTGCTGGTAGAGGCGTTCGCAAAGCATGAGTTCCAGAGTGAGGACAGGCCTGCGCTCTGTAAATACTGCACAGGGGACACGACAAGCATCGGTGAGAAATAGCGCAAAACGCGCAAAGCATGCGCAACCAAAGCAGAGGGCGACGGGCCGACGGGGCGCGGCGGCATTCGCGCGGGCGACGGAGTGGGCGACGAAAGCGAAGCGGAACTCGCGCAGTGGACGCGCGACGTGGAACGAAAGCGCAGGCACAGTGCGGCGTTCGAGAGACAAGCGCATGGCGCTGTTCGAAAAAAAACGGCGGACATGTCAGAGGCACAAAGGGATCGCCGCGAGGCTGGGCAAAGGCTCTGCCGGAAATGCGCAGCGGAGCGAGGACATCGGCATTGTGAGCGAACTGCGAGCAAGCCAACCGCAAGAGGAACGCAGAGGCGGAAGCGACGCCGCCGACGCGCGGCGCGCCAGGTCGTGGGAAACGTATTTGGGACACGGGGCATTTGAAGCCCGAGCAGGTGGAGGGGCATCGGAGAAAGAGAAGCACCAAAGTGGTGTGTCTGGAGTGCGACAAGCGGGGCGTAATTGCCAAGTGAGTAGCCGATGCGACGAAGCGGTCGGAGCGCGAATTAAAGTGCCCGGCATGCGGGGGAACGTTCGCGGAGCCGAGTCATCTGAAGAAGGGCCAAGTAGAACCCCATCGAAAAACGCAGATTGCGCGCGTGGTGTGCGGAGGCTACAAGGACTTCGGGATCACAGCGCGCAGTTGGCAGGCGTTCCAGTGCAACGGCAACTGCAAGAACAAAACTGCCGAAGTCGGCGTTTTCCGCGGGGGGTGGGACCGTCGCGCGCGCCAAGAAGAGCTGGACCCTGAAATGCAAGTTCCGTGAAAGGAATGTGTGTGGGTGACAGTTTGGGAGGTTGCATCGGCAACAGCGGGGTCAGTGCCGAGTTCCGTGAAAGGATGACCAGGGCGGGAGACAGCGAGAGGGAGGATGATTATAAGGGTAATGAGAGGGCGAGGAGCATGACAACGAGACCGTTGAGAAGGAAAAGGGGAACGGAGAGGAAGTGTAGGAGCAGGAGGAGGAGGAGGAGGAGGAGGAGGAGGAGCAGGAGGCTAGACTAGACCTAAAAGGTCATGCAATAAATTAACGCGCGGGGACCCCTCAGGATCCCTTCCTGCGCGTCGGCCGAGCCTGGGTTTAACCCCAAACTCTGCCCACGCCGACCTTGTAGACGAAGTCCCACAAGGCAATGTCGGCATCCGCGACGGCCCCGATCACGAATCGCCTCCAATTCACAATCGCCGTCACGAACTTGTTGTGCTTCTCGAACCTCGCGACAGCCGTAGGCCCCGACACGACTTACGTGAGGCCACTGTCCTTGCCGATGTCCGACGCATTCTTCTCGCTCTGCAGCTCGTCGCCCGCGTCACGACGGGACTCCTTGGCGTCGGGCGCGCCAAGCCAGGCGCTGGCCACCCGCGCCCGCGCTCTCCACCAGGAAGCCCCCGCGACTGCAATGCCACGCTTTGCTCCAGCATGGCCTTCCGGGTGCGCCAGCGGCGGCGGCGGCGTCCCAGCACTTGCAGCACCCAGGCTCAGCCCTGTCCAGCGGCGCCAGGGGCCCGCGGCCCAGCCCTTCGAGGACCGCCTCGGCGATCTCGTCGCTGCTGGGCTGTAGGCTCAGATGGCCCCATACGCCAGGCGGCTTTGGGATGTAAGGCCTCGCCGCGGAGCGCAGCGGCGTGCGGCGCGCGGGCGCCCCTACAGGCCGCGAACCCGCAGGCTCCGCAGCGCAGACCTCGACCTCCAACCACGGGAGGACCACGGCGGCCTCCGCCAGGCAGATCTCGACGATGCACTCCACGGGCTCACGCGCGGCCAGCCCGACGAAGGCCCCGAGGCGCGGCCCTGCCGCCACCTCTGCGATGGCCGCGTCGGAGGCCGTCGCGAAGCCGCCGACTGGCACGCGCAGCGCGTGCCACGCGGCGTTGCGGCGGCGCCTGCGTCGGCCGCACACTCGAGCGCTTGCAGCAGCGGCTTTCAAGGCCTGCCGAGCCGCCAGTTCTCGGTCGCGCCAAGAGCCTGGGGCGACTCCGCCAGCTGGCACCAGCAGGCCCTTAAGGCGCTCGATCTCCAGCCGGGCCTCCGACAGCTCCTGCACCAGCCGCTGAACGAGGCGGTCCGCGGCAGCCCGGGCCCCAGCTGCCCCACGGAGGGGCTCCCGCGCCATCTGCCGGTCCAAGCTAGCTTGAACCGAGCTGGCTTGAGCCAAAATGGCTACGGAGGAGGAGGAGGAGGAGGAGGAGGAGGAGGAAGAGGGAGAGGAGGAGGGAGAGGAGGAGGGAGAAAAGAGGATGAGGAGGAGGAGGAGGAGGAGGAGGAGGAGGAGGGGAAGAGGAGGGGGAGGCGGAGGCGGAGGATGAGGATGAAAAGAAGGAGGACGAAGAGGAGGGGGAAGAGAAAGGGGAGGAGGAGCAGAAAGAGGAGGAGGAGGCGGAGGAGGAGGAAAAGGAGAAAGAGCCAGGGGGACCTTGGTGAGGCTCCCAGATTGTCAAATCTCGAATAGCTGGCCCATTCGCCACCGTGCCCGGGTTGTGGCATTCGGAAGGCAGTGTTTGAGGCCTGTTGGGGGTCTCCTGGAGGCCTCTTTGGAACCTCTTGGGGGGGTCATCTCGGGCCGCTTGGAAGCAATAGTTGGCATCTTCGGCTAATCTTTACATAGGCGTTTCGGGGCTTGTTTGGACCTTCTTGGGGGCCTCTCGGGGCCTTCTTGGTCCGTCCTGCGGCCCTCTGTGCCCTCATGATGCGTTCGTACTGGGGTCACCCGGGGCCAGGGGGGTCGAATTCCCAGTTTGGGGGGCCCCGGGGGGGGTCATGGGATGGAAACCTTGCACACGCCTGGAGATTCTAAGGAGTCGGCGGATTTCCTCACCTCCATGAGGAAGATCTTTCGAGAATTGGATGGCGATGTCGACGGCGAGATCACCATGGAGGAGATGCAGAGGCGGATGCTGGATCCCGAAATCGGTGCCTATTTCAGCCAGCTCGGCATGGACCCTGACCAGGTGGGCAAGCTGTTTTTCCTTTTGGACCGCGACAAGTCGGGCACGCTCGACCCAGAGGAGTTCATGTTCGGCTGCCTGAAGTTCCGCGGCGACGCGAAGAGCCTGGATATCGCTGTGATGCACCAGCAGGTCAAATGGGTCCACGACACCCTGAAGGCCGTGGTCACCCACCTCGGGATCGACTCTGAGCCAGACCAAGATTTCCCACCTAGTCGGGTCTTCGAGGGCAACACCAGGAACTCCGTATTCTCTGCAGCACCCTCGGCAAGGCCCTCTGAGGTCAGCCGGCCCTCACAACCCACCCGCTGGACTTCCCCTCTCTCACACACACACACACAAACCCCACCACCACCACCACCACCACCACCACCACCACCACCACACCCCCTGGCCACCACCACCACCAAGAACTCTCCCCAAAATTGTCCTTTTCTCCACTGGAGCCTTGAAAAGCCCTCCGAAGCCAGCCCAGAAACCTGCTCGCCCCGTCCTGCATATAGAAACCCCTAACCGTTTTGCCCCTTCTTCTTCATTGGAATGTTGAAATTTGCCGAAGGCATCGCAGACACACACACACACACACACACACACACACACACACACACACACACACACACACACACACACGCGTCTGGCCAACGCATGTACACGCCAGTCGTTGAAAGTAGGTAGTTCTGGATGTCCGAATCCCAATCCACTTCGAGCGCCTTCCTACTTCAATAACCGATATTGTTTGCTGCGTTTTGTTATTATCTGGGAGAGCCTGGACCTAATATGTTTGATCCGCCTTTCTATGTTATGTTTATACCTACTTCTCACGGCCGACGTTTAAACCTTCCACCTCATCCCCCATCCTCCCGAGGTCCCCGGATGTCTCTGGATGTCTCTGGAGGTCCACGGTGGTCCCAATAGGCCCCCGCGCGTGGGCGTAGCAAGACGGATCGCAGAGGTGCACGGCGGCGGGCTCATGATCCTCCCCTCGCAGATCGAGCGCGTGCTCGAGTAGGTCTCGCGTCCTTCGGCGCACTGTCGCCGTCCCGACACGGTTGGCGCTGGCGACGAATACCCAGGAGGAGGAGGAGGAGGAAGAGGAGGAGGAGGAAGCGGAGGGGGAGGGGGTGGGGGACGAGGGTGGGGGACGAGGGTGGGGGCGGGGGGGGTTCTCGGCCCTTCGGGTGGGATCCTCGTTTTACAAGCCTATACCCCTGTCATTATGAGCGGCACCGCCCTATCTCGGTGCTGAGCTGAAGAATTCCTGCAGTTTCTGAGGGCACATCGTTGGGATTGCCATCGCCTTGCACTTTTCAGTCTTAGGGACAAGGATGAGATCGATGCCGGTTGCCGTCGCCACGGCTGGATCCGCCTCGAACTCTTTGTCGCAATGCGCTCCGTGAGAGCCCCAGGGTGTTGGGAGGGGAGAGGGGGGAGGGAGCGAATCTGAGGGAGGAGGGAGCCAGGAGGAGGATGTGGACGGAGGAGGGGAAGAGGCAGGAGGAGGAGGAGGAGGAGGAGGAGGAGGAAGGAGGAGGATCAGATCGACTCGGGGAGCGAGGAGGGAGCGAGGAGGAGGAGGCTGAGGAGGGAGGAGGGGGGGAAGGAGGTACGGTACGGCTGTCCTCGGAAGTGGGGTCAACGCCCCCTCAGCCGGGGGGATGCCAGGCTAAAGAACTCGGCAGCCCAGGACGCCCGCTAGGCGGGCTCAACTGACCCCAGGGACCAGAACCCCGAAGTCAGGAAATAAGAAGATGAAAGGAGGCGTTCAGAGCGCTTTCAGAACGAAGAAGCCCACCCCACCAGCCTACCCCACCACCTCCATGGAGCTGACCAGGGCGTCCGAGCTCGTCGACTCGCCGAACGCGAGGACGCGGAAGCCCAGCCAGCGGGCGCGTGGGGGGGCGGGCAGGGCGGCAGAGAGGAGAGGACAGGAGGGCAGGCCATCCTCCTATCAAAGCTCTTCAAACCTCGCAACAGACACGAAGAGACAAGACCCACCCCCATCGATACCATCACTAAACCGACCCCAATCCACTAGCAGCTGCACTCGCAGCACGGCCAGCCGACGGCAGACTAGAGAGGGCGAAAAGCAAGGGGGGGCAGGAGCTGTAATGCGGATGAGGAGGAGGCATCCTCAGACAAAAAAACGCCTCCTCTGAAACGACGCTCAAGGACAACACTACATAACTAACACAAGACACTCCCCTAACCCACATAACCATCCCAACCTTCCCACCACCCAACCGACTATGTAGAGCTGGCTGCCGCACGGAACCAACGATGGAGGTCCGTCTGGATTCTCACCCGTTCCGCGGCCCCAGTCACAGGGCGGGCGTCGGAGAACAGGCCATTGAGACATACAGGGATGCGCCTAGCAGCACGACCTCGCTCGGCACGCTCGCGACGCCTCGCAAGAGCCGCCGCTCCATCCGATGCGATCCGCTGAAGGATCTCACGGGCCAGCGGGGTGGGAGGTGGAGGGGGCGGTGGCTCTGCTGCACAAGGTGAGCCTCCAGAGAAATCTCTAGCAGCCTGCGAAACTCCAACTGCTATCGAAAGAGTGCCGTCGAGCTCATCCAGCTCATCGGGAGGGGGAGCAGAGTCGGGGCGCAAGAGGCGGGACATACGCAGGAGAGCAGATGGTTGGGAAACTCGGGAGGTCCGAAAGGCGAAGTCGGGGCCCATCGGATCCGCATCGGCAGAGATATTAGCAGACGATTGGAAAAAGGCAAACAGCTCCTTGCACTCCTGCTCGTCTTCCTCGGAGGGTGACAAGATGGCCGACTGACCAATGAGAGAGGGAAGTTGGGAGTCAAGCATAGAGGAGGTGATACCATAACAAACTTGGGGGGATACATTTTCTTGGGTGCGCTCTTCCACCTCTTGAGCTCAGGATCCCAACCTGCCATCGGGGATGCGCCCTGCGACCGTGCGAGCAATACCCTCTACCAGGCGTGTCACGGATCCGAGCCTGCAATGATGGGAGCGCCATCCCAAGAAGCCCAGTCGGAGCTCTCCCCACTTGTCCAAACTCACATTGATCAAAACACGTAAACGATGCCGAAGGGGCCGCCGTTAAACCTTTGAGGGCCTGAATGTGCCAATTGGGAACACCTCTGGGCTCCCAAGACGGAGGCGCGGGATGCTCGTGCCACCCCACACCCCTAGTGACCGCAATGGTAGTTCTAACAGTTCGATGTGAGCTTGAAAAAGGTCGCTGGAGCCATCATTGGAGACAGCAACCTGCACTCTGAGAGACGGCTGTATGCCCGTGGTTCCCCACGGCGCGTGCCACGTCCTTAGCATTGGGGGACCCTCGTCGCGCCATCTAGCGACCGAAAAGATCTCGCGCGGGGCCCCCCCCCTCCTAGCCCAATGATGCGGCCAGACGTATTGTGCTCAGCCCAGTGCTGGACAGACGCTGAGCGTGTGAGATCCCCCTTGCCTTTGTCCAGTACAATATCTATAGACAAGACCACAAGCATAACGGAGGGTGTGTGTGTGTGTCTCTAACGAAATTTCAACGGCATGCTGCACGTCGCCTACGCGCCCCTGGCCACAAAACAATTTGGCAATGATCACGTGGCGTTTTAAGAGCCTGCGCGGCACGGGGTCAGCAAGAGTTCCATTGTAAGCTGCAGGGTCGTCTGGCCATTCAATATCTGAGGGGGGCGGGATCAAATCCCTCGCCACTCCCATCGCCGACCAACGACCACAATACCTGCCTACTCCACCCAGTAATGACCTGCACTGTATCATTGACGTAGGCAGACGCCCCAGCGGGCGGATGATTACGATGAACTGCGACAGCGTTCTCTGGCAGGGGGCCAGGGAGGATGAAGGAAGGGAATGCGGCGTAGGAGTTGGATCTGCCCTGCCGAGTGCGCTCCGCGTTTTGAGCTTTTCAAACGCATCTAACTCCGAACGCGCCTCTAACGGCATGGGGTCAATGTGCCGAAGATAGTACACTAGGCACGCAGGCCGCCAGGAGGCAACGTGTCGCAGCAAGAGGTTGCGCGACGAGCAAACCTTGAGACACGACGCACACCATGCAGTAGACACTCGTGCCCTAGCAAGGTCTGTATACGATAAGTGGTTGGTACGAATATGTGCATCGAGAGAGCGCACGGTACCAAACGAGCTCGCACAGAAATGGCATGCAAGTTTGTCCCCGATTGGCCGAGGCGAAGGCAAGTCCTTCCTGTCAGACAGGCCATGCTCAGAAAGCAAGTTGAGGACTCTAATCTCCCAAGCTCGCGCCTTGACGTCACGTTTCAAACGGGCAACCGACGCTTGCAATGCTTCATTGAGGGTCCTTTTCCATGCAGACTGGGATCTTCGCAACTCCGTCAGCCATTGATTTGGCCCGAGGATGGGCAGGGGAACGTCCGCAAATGCAAAATGGGCTGAACGCAGCCAGTCAAGATCAGATAGAATATCATGGAGCCAACTGCTCTTGGAGACGCGAAACTCTTCTTACAGCACTGCTTTGAGGGTGTGAGGGCCAGCATGCAACACTTGGCCAAAGAGCCGAAGCCTAGAGACGCGGAGGAGGAATGAAGCCAAGGGTCGATCCGCCGCCGCCAGCACCTCTTTATCAGTCGGGCCACCTTTCTCGAACCTGGGCATACGCAAGATAGATCGGTATCGTCGAGCATACTGCGATTGGAATCGGGCCGCATCTGGCTTAAGGAGTGAGTACCAAGTACCTGATGCATACATGGCGGCGTTGGCCGACCGGCTGTCGAGGAAGATGAGCTTGGGAGCCATGTCCCGCCCAGGTGCCTTGGCGATAGCACGGCGTAAGGTCTTCATAGCGCCGTTGGCTTCCCTATCTCTGTATGTGAGATCTGGCCCAAGCCCCTTTATCGTCCAAGACGGACCCCAAGTACACCGTGGAACGGACAACCGAAATGACGTTGCCTCCGCAAACCAAACCAGGGACATCAATCGCGGGCTCTGTTTGAGAGAACCAATGTTTACGGAAAGCTGGGGTCCCAGGGCCACGCACGTCAATGAGCAAGTTTGGTTTACCGATGTTAAGGTGTGGGACCAGGCCAACAGGAGCAAAGGCATTCAAAACAATACAGCAGAAAGTGGGGAGCGCTTGCTGGAAGCGCTCAGGCTCGGCTAGCAAGACGAAACACGAGTCATCCGCATAGACCAGGCCAGGCATCGGGAGTTTGGAATCGCTAACATCACGTCCAAACCAATCCGAGGGAGCAGGGACCACAAAGAGCAAATCCTCTCTTTGCAGTTCTTCCGCCACTTTGAGAAGCCAGAACTGCAAAGGGGAATAACGTACAGCTAGCAGGCGTGCATGCCATAAGAGGTCGCACCAAGCAAGGGGGCGCGGTCGGCTGCACAACGGGGTGAGGAAAAAGGAGATGGTGGAATGATCATGCGTCGCAAGACGAGGCAAGTTACGCACGACACGACCCCTACGCCCCCACCTCGTCGCCACGGCAGAACGCACGGTACAAAACGCTTGTTGAGAGATTCGGCCCAGCTCCACAGTGAGGGAGAGAAGCTCCTTGGGCACAGGGGCCCCAGGGGCTGCACACCTCATGCGAGACTGCCTAACACTAGCCCCCCTTCGCCATGTCACGAAAACTTTACTGAGCAACCCTCGACACGACGCAGAGAAGCAGTAGAGGGACGTAACAGGAAGATTGGACCAACTCCTAGACCAGCTAACCCATCTCCAACCTGCAAAAAGGATGCGAGCGCTCAACCAGGTCGCTCCCGTGCGAAGCTGCCGAAGGGAGCGCCTCGTCAGATGCAGGGCTGACAGGTGCAAAGCTGTGTGCTGGGGATGCCCAACCTTTTTGACATGTGGGTCGACTTGAAAAAATTGGCAATACCTGTTTTGATATAGGTGTTGATTTGTTCGCAATGTTTTGAAACTGGAACCTCCCAACCAGGTTTAGGGCAAAGCTGCATGTATTCTTCAAACTCTCGGATGCGTGGGAGGAGGCCAATGCTCTCCTGTGCTCCCTCTCGCCTTGGCAT